ATCATGGGTGTTGTTGGAGATGAAATTGGGATAGACTTGTGAAAATGAACTGAATAAGCATTTTTTCTTTGATTGATATTCTGGATCCAAAATTTGGTATAATGAAATTCTGCTCGGTCAATTGGCACATAAGTATCTAAGAACTATAATTGAAAGTGTATTTACATCCAAAAAAGGAGGGAAAAGACCAATACAATTGTTAAGCAAAACGATTCATTCATGAGTGTATCGATCGAGCTCGTTTAAAGTTTAAAATGTATGAATTTTTTGGTATTTTTTTTTTATTTTTAGCATAATTCGGCTCGTGAAAGATCACATTTGTTTATCAGCTCGAATCCGAATATCAAGAGTTCGAATTCGGCTCGACTCTGTTCACTACAAAGACTAAACACGATATCTATTTAAGAAACACAACGATCATGCCTTGAGCCTGGCAATCATCTTCTCCACAAGCTGAATAGAACCCCCTCTCCTTCCCCCTCTATCGATCTTCCTCATAACCTCTTCGAACAAAACGCTCTTCGAATGCCTAACCCTAGCCGGCCCGCTGTCGGAGCTCTCCCGGAGCATCTTCATCAGCGTCTTGGCCTTCTCCCTCGCCCGCCGGTTGCCGTCGACGCTAAGCTGCATCAGCCCCGGCATAGCCCCTTCCCCGAGGATCACCCCTCTGTACCTCTCCCGGCAGCTCCCGCATATCACCGCCAGAATCGCCGCCGCGTGCTCCTTGCACGACGCCGTCCCCTCCTCCACCGCCTCCACCAACAGCCCGATCGCGCCACCGATCTCCGCCACCCGGCTCACCGCGGATTCCGACGAGGAGACTAGCGATTCGAGAAGCGCGACCGCCTTCTCCGCCAGATCCGACGATTTATCGGCGTCGCAAATCAATTGAATCAGCCGGATTAAGCCGTCGGAGAGGATTGCGGACGGTAGGGTTTCGGGGGAGGTTGAGAGGTTGTGCAGTGTGGATATGATGTCGAGCTTGGCCTGATGGCCGATGGCCTCGCCGTTTGGGGATTCTGAGTCGAGAAGCTCGAAGAGTAGCTGAACGGCGCCTGAGGATGCAATTTCGGGCTTATTCGCGGCGCACGACGAGAGGATCAACAGCGCTGCTAGGGCAAGCTCGAGCAGGGACTCGTTCCGCCATTGGAGGGCCTTCAGTAATGCTTGCGTGGCCCCTGATTTCGCTATTCGGATTTTGTTCCTGCAAAAAATTCAAATTAAATCAGCCTTCATTTTATTCCTGAAACTTTTCAAATTAAATCAGTCTTGATTTTAGTCCTGAAAATTTTCAAATTAAATCAGCATTTTACTTGATGAATTGGTGAAGTGGTATTTGTATCATCAATACCAACCTTTCACTGCCAAAGGCAAGGTTGAGCAGAGCCAAGAGAGCCGCTTCAATGGATTCATAATCTTGAGACTCAAGCATGAAAATCAACGGTGGAATTGCTCCGTTTTCGGCTAACTTCTGTCGTTCATTGCAGTTAAGCTTGCCGATTTCCCTGGCGGCGAAAATCCGAGCTTCCCGCTCACCGAATAGAAGAGCTTTTGCAATGGCTGTCTCCATATCCTCTGGATTTCAGCCAAAGCTTTTCAAAATTTGTGTTGAGGGGACAGATTACACAAGTTAGGTGAGTATGATAAACTGCAGTGCAAATTATATTGTGATTATGTGATGTTTGATTGCTTGTTGAGGGTGCAAGGTTATTTGCTTTTTTGGGTTCTAAGGAAGAGAAATGTGTCTTTCTGATAATTGTTTGAGCTTGAAGCAAAGCACTTAACCACTTCAATCTTATATAGCTGCCCCAATGTGGAAATAGCTTTGGAGTGATGTGAGTGTGAATCTTCCCCTTTCCTTTTATAGAAATAACCGCCGTTAGCTTCACGGGAACAGTGAGGAATATTTTAATTTGGAGTGCTCAGAAAATGAGGTATGTTAATGTGTTTGCTTGCACTCGCAAATTTCTACTTCTAATGACTAGAACAAAATATATCTCGAAACGATAAAAATAAGAAACATCGGAGAAGATATATAATCCTAATCCTACTCACAAAATATATCTTGTAAAGTTTAAATAAAAAAGTTTGGAGAAGAAATACAATCCTAATCCTACCATAGTAAGAGAAGGCATATAATCTTAAGAGCATCTCCAATGTGGCTTTTGACATTATAAAAATTCATCCATATCATCAACTTTTGAAAGTGTGTTATTAATTTATTCTCCAATGCATCTTGTCATGAACTCTTTCATGATGAGGTGGATAACATTTAATGTTGACAATGTTGAGCACACTTTCTAATATCTAACACCATGTTAAACATGATGACTAATCAATTTACTTTATATTTGATTTAATTTTTTATTGTTCTTGTATTAATGATTATTTTAATTGGTCCACCTATACATATAACTTCTCATCAAATTGATGCATTGGAGATACTAGTTTGATTCAAATTTTTACTCTTTTAACATTATTCCTACATGGATTAACATTACAATCATTGATTGACATGTGTTAAAAATCATTGTCTTTCAAAGCTATAACATTGGAGATGCTCTAATCCTACCAGTTATAGGAGAATTATATACCATTCTAGTCATACTTAACATTTTGTATGTTTTAACCTAACTTATGCCCTAAATCAAACCTCACATATTAAATCTTTTAATATAAGACATCAGTAATCTGTCAAATATATATTTATTACGGTAAATAAGTTTGATGATTGATTTAATTAAGATCAAGTAACTATATTATCCACAATAATATAATAATGTAAAAATATTTGTACAAATTCGACCTTAACAGTGTGAAAAATCACACGCATGCACACCCTAACATTGTGGGACCCCATGCCAATGTCAAAACAATTAATGGGTGATTGGATACGAATATAGCCACTCAAAATAATTTTTTTTAACCATTGTTAATATTAAAAAAATGGTACCATTAGTTGTTAGTGGGTTAGAGTTTAAAACATCTCTAATGCTTAAATGTAGTTTTAGTAAATTGCATTTTACATTAACATATTTAGCAATATCTCCGCTTTTAATCTTACAATGCACAATGTGATCACAAATGTAGTGATTAGATGAACATAATTAATTTATATAATGTGACTCATCCACATTCTCTTTCACATTTTTGTCAACCAATGGAGGAAAAAGATTTCTTTCTTATTTATAATTTTTTTTTTTATTTTGGCCAAGTGGACAATAATGTGTTTGATTACACTGTGCATTGGAGACAATTTTTCAGATTCAAAGTTGTGAACTTAACAATTATCTTATGTGTTTCATAATTCATCAAGTTAATTGACATTTTTCAACATTTATACAATAACAACATTTATGCATTAGAGATGCTCTTATTTTAAAATAAAATAATTAAAGTTGATTTGATGTAAAAGTAGTAGAAAGATAACGTGAAGAGATGGTTAGCTAAGTTATGTGGGTAACGAAATAATGAATTAAAGTTGATGTGTTGTGTAAAAAATATTAATTGATATTATGTAATTTAATTATACTGATAATATTGAGGATGGTGAGATCGAGTTAAAGTTAGTTATATTTTGATTATAATTTTGAGTTATGTTATATACAAACATTCTTAGAATATGACTATGTTTAGTAAAATTGGCTGATAAGCTAGTTTATAGTTTATCAGTAATTTTTGAACTTATAGCTTATATGATTAAAGTATTTGGTAAAATTAGCTAATCAACTAGCTGAAATAAAAATTTCAAATGACTTATTTGAAAAGCTACCCAAAAAAACTTATGAGATAAGCTCGAGCTTTTTAAAAAAGCTCATCCTACAAAACGAAGTTTATTTAAATACATGAATATTATAAGCTAACCAAATAAACTATAAACTAACTTATTTGTCTATCAAACATAACCTATGTATGAACTCACACCGCTGTCAGTTAAATCATGTGCATGCATATGTGTTTGTGAAATATAAATATGTTATATTTTGTAAGATGATGACACTACAAAAAATTTGTTATATTTCAACGAAAAATCCTATGGTAATATATTTCAATGGAAATTACGACATATATTCCAATGGTATAGCTTCCGTTGGAATGATTCAAACGGAAATTCCAATGAAAATATTCCATTGGAATGTATTTTTCATTGGAATTTTAGATGAAATTTGATGATTCCAACGGCCATATTTCCAACGGCTTTTCATCGTAGAAATTTCCGTTGGAATTTTTATTTTCACCACCGTTGGAATCGTCAAAATCCAACGGAAATTTCAATGGAAAACTCATTCCAACGGAATATTTTTGTTGGAATTTCCGTTGAAATAATTCCAAAACAAATAATAGCATTTAATTATCCATTGGAATTGCAGTTGGAATTCTATTGGAATATATTTCTGTTGGAATTCATCATTTTCTTGAAGTGTTAGGGTGTTTTATAACGAGTGTCGAGTTGCAAAATATTCATAGTAGTGTAGTAGTGTTCTGTAAAATATGGTTTGTATGTATTTTGTAAGATGGTTGGTGTTTTATAACAATTCAATATAACTTTATCGTTCGTGACACCATACATGCATAGTAAATGTGGTTGAAATAGGGCTCGAATTTTATTTTATTTTTTAAAAAAGAAGATCAGTAGTGTTCCCACTTCTCCTCGGACGCTCGAACTTATGATCTATGGCTACAACATAAATGGTTTTAGGTAGCACCAAAGAAATGATACGTAAAAGCTATAAAATGTTACGTAAAAACTATAAAAGGTTACTATAGACAATAGGTAATACAATATTGGAGATACAGTTGCTTGTGCTACCTAAAGGTCCAAGGTAATAATTTTTTTAGTTTTTGGTTACACTTATATGATACTTTTGTTAATTTTTGGTAACAGTTATATTAAAAGTATTACAATAATATGATACATAAACCAATTATATGATACATAAATCAATAATTGTAAAGTATTACAATAAATGTTGCTACCTAAAGTCATTTATTTTATTGTCTAAAATAGAGCTCGAATATGAAAAATGGTAGGTACTAAAATAGTAGGAGGATTGGAGTTAATCCATATGTTCTGTGTCTGTTGCAATTTATTTAACAAATATCTAATAGATATAGATATGTAGGGGATTAACATTTTTTGATTTAAACCGGAGGAGGATATTCCGATGAAAACCTTTGCTTGATAGAAAATGAAGAACCTTTTATAGATAGGCAAAAATAGGGCTCGAACTTGAAAAATAGTGAGTATTAGAGTAAAAGGAAAATAAACAAACTGAATAACTTAAGAAATAAAGTAAAATACAATAGAAAATAAATAACTCTTTTATAATAGTACCAGAATAAAGAAAAAAAGATAGAACTGAATAACTCTTTTAAAATAATAACTCTTTTAAAATAATACCAGAATAAAAGAAATAGTATCACAATAAAGGAAATTAAACGATAGAATTGAGTAACTTTTTTTATAATAGTACCAAAATAAAGGAAATTAAACAATAGAACTTGATTAAATAAAAATAAAAGGAAAGAAATAAATATCTCGTTTTATAATATTTTTTTATTTTACATTATCATCTTATCTTGTAACATATCGTAGATTCGCTAACATATTGTAGATTCGCTTTTCTTTGAATGCTCCGGTTGTTGGGCCTAACAAACATTATATATTTAGTATTGATACGTTGAACTTGCGATTCGTTCTTTTTCTCTATTTGGGTATAACAAAATTTAGTATTGGTACGTTGAACCCAGTCAAAACATAGAATACTACCGTTTAGAATAGTGTGCTCGTTGTATGGGTTTGCCGTCAACTTGGATGGAACCATAGTGTGCTCGTTATATGGGTTTGCCGTCAACTTGGATGGAACCCAATTTATTAGGAAAAAAAAATATGCATTATTTTTTTATATTATTTTTTTAATAATAAAAATAAAACATAAAAAGCCATAGAAATGGAAGGAAATTGTTTGTAACAAATTTTAAATCTTAATTTTATAACATGTTATTCACATACGTTAAATTCAATAATCCTTTCCATTATAGCATTCATTTATAGAGTTGTTGAAACAAAAACAAAACTTACAAGATTGAAAGTGAAAAATATCTTATAAATGTTAGAAAATGGTTTAGAATAATTAACAATACATAATATCCTAAAAATGCTTAGTATGTTTTATGTATAAATAAACAACACATTTGATTCTTTTTGTTATTAATAAATATATTAAATTAAAAAATTATAATATTTAAATTAACTAAAAATAATTTTAGCAAAAAATAAAAGCAAGTTTGAATTAGTTTAGAATATGAATGCGCAACATATAAAACTATATGTTATTGTTTATGAACTCAGATTTTTTACATCTATCTATAATTTAAACAATTAAAATTAACTTATTGACACACGTCTGAAAAAAAGCTGGCAACACCGGCACCACACTATGCCCTATGTTGTCGGGATGCCCATACCACCTAAACCCTAGAAATGGCTATAAAATCCGGCCTCTAATGAAGGGGAAAAGGGGGGGGTCGAAAAAGCTTAAGAACATCCGTGCCTACAAGTTCTCAAAAAGGAGAGCATCATTGTAGCCCCTTGAGCATCCCAGAAATCAGCCCTAGCCAATCGGTTTTTCTTGTTTTTAGACCGCACTTGTAAACATATTTATCAATAAAATAGGCTCAGAGATCTAAATCTTCTCGTCGCGTGGTGAAATCGGTGTCGATCTATTTTTCATGATTTTATTATTTCCATTACCAAATTAATACTCTAAACCGTTACTTCAACAAATAATACCAGATTATGTTGCCTTAAATACATCCTAAAATACATAAAACTCATAATAGTTGGCGGCCACCATCATCAAACGTAATTTTATAATTTAGCATGTTTACATGATTAAAAATCTATATCTATATATATATAAAGAGGGAGTTGATGGAATTTATTGCTAAATATAGATGATATGCAATGACTGTAATTGGTAACATTTCTACATTTGGTTGGGTAATTGTAAGGTTAATTATTTTTGCTAAGAATGCCAAATAATAATGGAAAATGCATTAACTTAACTAAATTCGTATTCAATTATTTTTGGTTATTTTTAAGAATGGAAAATAATAATTGTAAGTTAACTTACCCAATTCATTCCGTTTAGAAATTTAACAATAATATTTATATTTTTTTACAATATATTTAAAAATATATAGCATCAACTACGCTTAACAATATTCCAATTATTTGATACCTTAAATATATTTAATATCATGAAATCTACATATGTCATTACTGTGTTTTTTAAGACAGTCGTATTAGTTTATGCTAACATAGCCATACCTATTAGTTTATGCTAACATTATGTATAGATCCAAAAAACATGTTAAAGAAAAAAAAATATTTATTATGAATAACCTATTTAAATTAAGTTATTATATGAATACATGATAATCGTGAATGATTAACAAAATACATGAATCATATTAATGTCAATAAAATTAAGCAATATTAATGGTGCTTGCTTAACTAAATACACCCAAACTTACCAAGATACTCGAGTACAGAATAGGAGTAATTCACGCTATAAATCTCATTTCCAAAATTTGTGTCATCATATTGTTCTTTCATAATTCAAGAAGAATGAAATCTACATTAATATCCCACAATTTTTGCGCAAACCAAGTTTTTTCAGAGACGTTAATTAATTTTTTTATTTTGGTCTCTAATTACTATTTTCCATATCTTTTTTTAAATATTTAAACTTTTGGAAATCCAATATATAAATCAGTTAATAAAAGAATCAAAAAGGCTTTTTTTCGAAACATGATTATTGCGATCAAAATATGTTATCCACATCAAATGTTGGTGTTGTGTTCGAAACCAAGTTTTTTCAGAGACGTTTATTATTTTTTTATTTTGGTCTCTAATTACTATTTTTCATGACTTTTTCAATACATAACGTTTGTTTCGAAACATGATTATTGCGAAGAAAATATGTTATCCACATCAAATGTTGTTGTTGTGTTCTAAACTAAGTTTTCTCGAAGACGTTGATTAATTTTTCTATTTTGGTCCCTTATTACTATTTTCTATGGCTTTTTTCAATACATAAACATTGGTTTTGAAACATGATTAATGTGATGAAAATATGTTATCCACATTGAATGTTGGTGTTGTGTTCGAAACCAATTTTTTTCAAGGACGTTGATTAATTTTTTCTATTTTGGTCTGTAATTACTATTTTCCACGGTTTTTTTTCAATACATAAACTTTTGTTTTGGAACATGATTATTGCGATAAAAATATGTTATCCACATTGAATGTTGGTGTTGTGTTAGATACCAAGTTCTTTCGGAGACGTTGATAAATTTTTCTATTTTGGTCTCTAATTACTATTTTCCATGGGTTTTAGTTTTAATACATAAA